CCCTTTAAAATATAGAAACCAACTGAAAGCAGGCACTTGAGCAGATATTCATACACACATGTTCATAGCAGCATTATTTACAATAGGCAAAGGGTGGAAACCACCCTAGTGTCATCCCAATAGAAGAATAGATAAAATGTGGCATATACATATAAAGGAATATCATTCATTCCTTAAAAAGGAATGCAATTCTGATATATGATACAACATGGACGAAATTTGAAAACATTAAGCTAATAAAATAAGCCAGACACAAAAGGGCAAATAGTATCTGATTCTATTTACATGAGTTATCAAGAATAGCCAAATTCATACAGACAGAAAGCAGAACAATGGTTACCAGGGTCTAACCAGGGTCTGAGGCAAGGGCTAATGAGTACACATTTTCTCTTTGTAATGAAAAAGTTCTGGGGATGGTAGGGATGATAGTTGTACAATGTAAATGCAGTAAATGCGGTTAATGCCACTGAATTATACACTTAAAAGTGATTAAAATGGTAAATTTTATATTATAGATATTTTACCACTATAAAAAAAACATGTTAAAAACCTTTCTTAGTTCATGGACCATACAGAAATAGACTGCAAACCAGAATTGGCTTGCAGGATGTAGTTTACAAACCCCTGCTCTGAATCATAAGATCCATTAAACAAACAAAATGATATGAAATATTCAAAAATTTCTAAGTCATTTAATTCACTTTTAACCAACAAGTTAAACAAATGTTCATATTTAATGTTTGCTAAATTTACAAAAATGTATAAATGCAAATGTAGTCTTTACCCCCAAATACTTGAGAAATCTCTTTAAGAATGAAGTAGAATGTACATACATACAAATAGAGATATAATGATACATGTCAATCCAACTTTATCTGTTTTAGATAAGGGGAGGAGGAGGGAAGCAGAGATGAATAAGGCATGGTGTCCACTTCAGTGAAGTTTAAAAGGTAGCCTGAAATACATGGTAGGTAAAGTTGAAGCTTAGATACGAACAGAAATAGTTTCAAGATTCCGATTTGAAAGTTTGATTTTACCACTTGTACTACTTTTATTTTTTCTTCACTCATTTGGTGTATAGCAGACCATTTCCCCTCCTATTTGTTGGAAAGGAGAAAAAAGGAAATGTTGGAAAATTAAGCATACTGTAAAGACCTACTCAGATCTCTCCCCTACATGCTTACAACCTTTAAATCTAAAACTCACTTGACCCATGGATTAGTTAGCACAATCTCAGACTCTAGAGCCGACCCATCCCTAAAAAAAGAAAAACCTGATGGACTGAACATAGGCTACAGGCAAAAATAAAGTCACTATAAGCAAGAAACTTCTTTCAGATTAGACAAACAACATATAAATGTATAGACCAAAGACAACGGTTTCCATTATCTATTCACTGGAAGAGATGTGTAACAAACAACCCTAAACTCAGTGAAGTAAAACAGCAATCATTTTATTACCCTCATGAATTCTTCAGGTCAGGACTTAGGACAAAGCAGAGCAGGCATGGTTTGTCTCTGGCTACATGATAAGGGCCTTAGCTGAAATGACCCAAATGGCTGAGCAATGAGAATGGCTAGGAGCTGGAATCAGCTTCTCAACTCACATGACCGGTACCCAGGCTGGGCTGACTCAAGGCCTGGGCTCAGCTGCAACTGCTGACCAGTGTTACCTTCATGGGACCTTTGTCTGTCTTGGGCTTTCTCACAACATGCCAGCCTCAGGTAGTGGAATGTCTCACAAGAAGGCTGAGAATTCCAAAAACTAAATGTTCCAGCAGACAAGGAGGCACTGCATGGCCTCTTATGACCTAGCCTCAGAAGTCACATATGGTGACTATGACTACTTTTGCCAACTTCTTTTGGTTAAAATCAATCACAAGCCCACATACATGTAAAGAGAGGGAACACAGACTCTATCTTGTTATCAGAAGAGTATCAAAGAAGTTGCAGGCAGGTTTTAAAAACTACCATGGACATATATAGAGAGAAATGGAGATACATGCCAAAGGGTTAACAGTGCCTACTCCCCAGGATCCCTCAGAGTGCATTTAATCTATTATATTCATTCAGATTAATCCAAATTTATCTTTCAAGGATAGCAAATTCCACCTATTTTCATGTGATGCAGTATCAAACTTCAATTAACCTGTATGATTTGCATCAAAGTTGGCTAATAGCTTGTTTTTTGACCCTAGCACCATCTGCCACTTATAACCATTTCTTATTTTTCAAACACCATCAAGCTCAGATCCACCCTCAGATTTAGGCTAAGTCATATCCAGAAAGAATGCCTACAGCAAGCAAAACAAGTAGATTAGGATCACGCTAGCATTATGGCTGCTGAGACCAGTGGTCATTCCCTATCCTTACTAGACTTTAGGATCTTACAGGTCAAGAGAAAAAATGAACCAGATGGTAGGTAAATAAGGCTATCAACTTTTATTCTCCAAAGTTAAAACATCTGAAGAACAACTACTATTATCATATTAAAAATAGGATACACAATTTCAAAATAAAGCATGGTCCTTAAGAGTGAATAAATATAACTAAATGAAAAATTCATATACCTTATCTGAAGTGTTTTGGATTTCAGAGTTTTTCGAATTGGGGAATATTTGCATTATACTTATCAGTTGAGCATCTCAAATCTGAAATCCAAAATCTGAAGTGCTCCAAGGAATATTTCCTTTGAGCATCATATCAGCACTCAAAACGTTTTGGATTTTGGAGCATTCTGAATTTTATTTTCAGATTTGACATACTCAATCTGTAATTTTGTTTTTAATTTCTCTGCTGATCTGAAGAAATTTCACCATAGAAGAATTCCAGTTCGTAAACTGGTATGCGAAATCATTTGTGCGTCTGTCTCATCTCTTCTTTCTTTTACTTTTTTCTAATGGTTTTATATTTTTGCTTTAGGAACTCAAAATCTAAACAAGACAAAAAAGTAAATGATTATAACACCATATGATTGCTGTAAGAATGCCTGGGGAAACAAAAATAAAGGAAGGTCTCACAAGTTAGGTGAAAAAGGTTTGCCCATGAGAAAGAATGGGGAAGATTATAGGTAGCTGAAAACACACAGACAATCTATGCATACAGCCTATCCAAGCTACATCCATTGTGTATCAAAAAAGGGAAGAGTAGTTATGCTTGGCTGTAGAGTAAGATTAACTTTCTCTTCATTATTCTTCTCTTTTATGAACTTTAACAATAGAGAAAGCATTAATTTAATGATCAGGGATTGTTTTTTAATTTCGGTTTTTAAAGTTAGCTTAGGAAAAACAAACAAAAGACTTATTTTTCTGGTAGAAAGCAGTTTGGGTCATGTTGTAAAATACAGTTGTTAATGATTGGGAAGTAGGCTGCAGAAGTCAAGCTCCAAACAGACTATACTAGGAAAAGGGCTCATAATATTCATCCCGTGTCTCTGTGAGAATCCTAAGCTGGGTGTACTCAGTGTTGCAAGTCTCTTTATCCGTAGAGTCATTAGGCGGAAATTCCCCATGTGGCAGGTACTAGCAGGTCAAATGCTCAAATATAATACCCTTTGGAGTCAGAGAGACCAAGGTTAGTATCTCCACACTACCACTTAACTAGCTCAGTGAGCCTGGGCAAATTAATTAGCCATTTGACTTTTTGATCTGTAAGGTGGAAAAATGCCTACCTCTCAAAATTTTTGGGCATAACAACTTACATAATGTAGGTAATGAACTCAGAACAGTGCCTATCCCCCTGAAAATGACGATTATAATATAAAACGCATTTGTAAATGTAATTGAGAAGCAGATACTGGTTTGCTCTACTGGTTTAGCTAAAGGCTTTAAGCATATAAAACTCCTTTGTCTGCTGGGATGTCAACTTTTTAAAACTTAGATGAGTATAATTTTCTAACACAAGTTCCAAATGTGGAAAGGACATTCTGTATTTGCAGTTAATTCTACCTTTAGAATGATCCTTCTGTAGGATCCACAAATAACCAAGGGACCCAGCCCCTAGATTCTAGCCACTGACAGAAAACTAGGTGGAAGTTTCCCATTCCACCCTGTCTCCTTAATCCAGCGGGCTTTTGAATCAGAGATGTTTTGTGTAGAGATGGGCCTTCTCTCTTCCAGGCCAACTCTGAAGTAACCGCCCTTACCCAAGTTTTCGTTGAGCTGGAATAACGCCAGCAGAAGACTGTAGTAGGTGTGCCTCAAGTGTCCTCAAACAATTCCTGAAGCTTCCAGAATCCTTGTAATAGCCCACTGAACCACCTGCGGCAACTCCACCCACTTCCACACACCTGCTCTTCTTTCTAACCCTGGTACGCAATCCAGCAGCCCGCCTTCGCAGGTGACCAATCAGAGAGAGCGCAGAGTGAGCCGGATGGGGCGGGTCCAGTTTGGCGCTGAGGACGAATCACCTGCCTCAGACAGCATGGGCGGAAGCGGAAAAGAGCTGAAAGTCCTGGTTTGGCCTTGGGTTCCGCTGTAGGGGATGTCCCGTGCGAGTGAATGAGGAGGTCCTAGGGCTTTACCTACTAGCAGAATCGCGCGAAGAGACGCCTGCCAGTGCGGGAGGTAGGGAGCCCGATCCCCAAAGAAAAGAGCGACTGGACAGCAACTGCAAGACAGAACCGGAGTGTGCAGGGTCCCTAGAGGCCGGTTCCTGGTCGGCGCTGCTCTTCTGGAAGCCATGGTGCAGGCAGAGCTCAGGGCAATCCCCAGGTGAGGGCAGCGGCTCTGCCTGGGATTCCACCGCGGTAGAACCGAGTAGATGCGGGGTGGGGAAGAAAGGATGTTGCCTGCACTGCTCCCCGATAGCACCCTGATCGGCCACATTTGCAGGAGCAGCAGCAGAAGAAGACACAGCGCCGGTCCAGGAGGCGGCTCGAGCTGTTAGTAAAGTCGTCCGACAGCTTTTTCTCCGTAGTATGCGAGTTGACAAAACAGCCAGAGAACCGGGCTCCCCATTACAATCTTTTCAAGCTTTTTTCCCTTGCTAACCGGATCTGATTTGTGCGAAAACATGCCTTGCACTTGTACCTGGAGGAACTGGAGACAGTGGATTCGACCTTTAGCAGTGGTCCTCTACCTGGTGTCCATAGTGGTTGCGGTTCCCCTATGCGTCTGGGAATTACAGAAACTGGAGGTAAGAGGGTTCTGCACCATTGGCCTCTACACTTTCTTCTACCCATCTAAGATTGGGAAGGAGTCACCCTTCCCCCATTTCTGCTTTGACAATCCTGAAAACCATCTAATGTAAACGAGCCCACTCTTAGGATATAAACCTGTCTAGTTTCTTGTTCACGGTTCTTCAAGTCACCCTACAGATGGAGGTGGGACCGGGTCGAGAAAATAGAATATATTGATATGGCTGCTTAGAAGGGCACCGTTTTGCAAGCATTCATCGGTTCCCTGAAAGGTAATTTTATTCCTGAAATCTGATCTGTTCAGATACTGGACTAAAGTAGGTCAAATAAACTACCTTGAAAACCATGTACTGAGTTTTATTAGCTTTTAACTAGCTTCCTGAATCAAAGGATTCTAGTTGTTTTAACTTTAGTGTTTGTTTTTACTGTGGAAATTAGCTCTTACTCAACAAAGGTTTTGCAGAAAGTCCCTTATATATATTTTTGATGTCATATGCTTATTGTGACATCAGTAATATACTCTAAGCTGGAAAACCCAAGGCAAATAACTCCAATATAAATATTATATAATGAACTTTAAATTCGGGGTTAATATAACCCAGCAAGTACTTTTACAGAGAAACACCTATTGCAACAACTATAACAAGACCATAACTATTTTAGGCTCATCTTTATTGTGGAAGTGATTTTTACATATTTAAGCAAACTGTATTTAATATACATTTGTGTTCTCTATTTAGACTAAATTATTTTCTGTTGACTTTCCCATACTATCATAGTCCATATAGTTATTTTAATGGCAGCATAATATTCTGCTACATTAGATAATTTCCCATTTGTTACATATTTAGATTATTCTCACAATTTGTCTATAAAAACTTAGGTATAAGCATCTTAATACAAATGGGATTTTCTTACTTTGAAATAATTCCTTGGAATATGGTATAGGAATTACTTTGAAGGTTAATAATATGCATACTATCAATCCAGTTTAAGGCTTCTCTTAGTTGTTAGTTTCAACTGTAGTTTTTTAGGTGCCACTTTTAAGAAAATTAAGAATTTTTAAGAAAAATTTGAATCTGCAATCTGCGCTGCTAACATTCCTAAGCCAAGTTCTCAGCACGTCTTCCCTAGATTCTTCTCAACACACCAGCCAGAGGAGTAACCAGTTAAAACATGGCACATTAGGTGTGTCCTCTTAAATCACTTCTAGTCTTAAAGGCCAGTATTCTTCACTGTGGCCATCAAGGTCCAACATGATCTGACACCACTCCCACCTGATCCCCCTCTGACTTTTTCTCCTCAAGTCCTAGGCTTCCACTGCATGGCTTTGCTCAAAAATCCCAGGCATGCTCCCTCCTTGAACCTTTGCACAAAGTTTCCCCTTCATAGAACGTCCTTTCCCTAGGTATTATTCTCATTCCTTTATGTTCTTCGGGTCTTTACTCAAATATCACCTGACTACTCTATTTAACATTGTAAACTTCCCCTTCCTAACTCTTCATATTCCTTTCTCTGCTTTTTTTTCCATAGGACTTACCACCATCTACCACAATACATATTTTACTTCATTTTCTTTCCCCCTCTTTCTGCCCAAATGACTAATACTTGAATACATGACTGAGTCCCAGTGATAAATCAGGCTTTGTATACTGTATGAGAGAACACTTACCTCCATAGAACCTACTGGTGGAGACAAAGGGAACTAACAAAAACAAGTCAATAAAATTGTATAAAATGCTGTGGAAGAAACCAGAAAAGATCTGAGAAGTTAACAGGCAAAGCAATCTAATTGTATAACTTCAAAAGACCACTCTACCAGCTATGGAAAATAAAGTGGGAGTGAAGTGAAGTGAGAAAGCTCTTTATGGTAGTGAGAGGTGGTGGGTGCCTGGGCTTTTGATGGTTTATGGCCCCAGTAAGGATAGCAGGAGTAGAAATGGAAAACTGAATTGTAAGTATCTTTAGAAGTGAGCAAACAAGACTTGGCAGGAGATTGGGTTCCAGAGGAGAAAGAATGAGAAAGGAAGAAATCAAAGATGATTCTGAAGTTTTTGGTTTGAACAACTATGTAAATGGTGGTGCCAATTACTGAGATAGAAAATTGAAGGTTAGGAACAGGTTTAAGAGAAATTGAGTTCTGTTATGGACAATTAGTTTAATAAGAGACATTCAATAGGCATGTCAGATATACTGCTGGATATACACATCTAATGCTCAGAAAGATTTGATCTGAAGATACAAATGTGGGAGTTTATCTTAGCCTGCTCAGGCTGTGGTAAGAAAATACCATAGTCTGAGTGGCTTAAACTACAGAAATTTATTTTCCCACAGTTCTGAAAGCTTATCACATGCCTATGGTGGGGCATATACTCATTTATTGGAATGGTAGGATGACCATCTACACTGTTGAAACTATTTTTCCCACTCTCTTGGCTGACCACATATACCTAAAGTTAATTCGCACATGATGGCATGCAGCTCTGTAGTCTGTTTACCTCATCCCACTCATCCTCATGCCCTAAGAGTTCCAGATGTCAGTTCTGTCTCCCCTCAGGACGACAGAGCCTAGAAAGCACTCTCTATTCATCTCCACTATTTGTTTTGAAGTATTTTGCTGAGGGAGAGTTAACTTATTCTTGGATGCTTGTCTTTAAGGGTTTTTTCTTTCCTCTCTACTTTCCCCAAGTTACCCTAGAAAAAAACTCTCTTTATCTCCTCCTCATTTCGTAAGCCAAAAAACTCAACTCGTGGCTGAAAAGATTAAGAATACTACTACTAGTATCTATATCATTGTGTGTCAAATTTAAATAAATTATTTGGAGGTAAACATAAAATTAAAGAATTATATCAATAATTTCTGCAGATACCTAGTGTTGAGTTATTCTATTATAATGTTACTTAAATATTACACACATAAAATTGGTTAAATTTATTATGCATGTAGCTTTTATATAGCTCAAAAATCAAAACAACTGTAAAACCAGTAATTAAAATTAATGATATTAATGTGGAGAGATGATGTCTTTCTCAAACTAAATTACCATTTGCCATGTACAATGATACTTTGTGGTACAGGATTTTAAAATTTGACCTGCAGTTACCAAGTCTCTAGGCACTTGTTTTATGATTGTTTAAAAAACAAAAACAACTTTCTTCCTTAGAGCACACTGAGGAGACTTGACCTTCATTAGTCACAAGCACACATAAAACCAAGTTCTAGTTTTTGGAACTGAAGCAATCAAAAAAAGCAACTACTTGGCAATACTTTTTTTTCCTCTTCTTTTTTTTCTTTTACTTTTTTTTGGAGACACAATCTCGCTCTGTCACCCAGGCTGGTGTACAGTGGCATGATCATGGCTGACTGCAGCTTTGACCTTCTGGGCTCAGGTGATCCTCTGACACCCAGCTATATTTTTCTGTTTTTTGTAGAGATGGAGTTTTGCCGTGTTGCCCACGCTGGTTTTGAACTCCTGGGCTCAAGCCATCTGCCCACCTCAGCTTCAGAAAGTGATGGGATTACAGGCATGAGCCCCTGTGCCTGGCTGCAGTACCATTCTTAATGATCACTTTATAATAAGGCCAATCTAGAATATGCTTATGCTCTTACCGTTTTCTTAGATCCTCATTGAAATTTCATTTTCCTTGGTTTTGGTAACCTGTTGTCCACCATGGTCTGAAAATATTAAATGGAAAATTTCAGAAATAAGTGTTTTATAAGTTTTAAATAACATTACAATATATAATTGTTCTATTATTGTTATTACCACTTACTGTGTGTTCAGTTTATGAATTAAACTTTATCATAAGTAAGTATGTATAGGAAAAAACATAGTATATGCATATAGGACTTGGGACTATGTACAGTTTTAGGCATTCACTGGGGGTCTTGGAACCTAGCCCCACATATAAGTGGAGAATACTCTACTCAATTTTAAATGAAATGGATAAAAGCAAAGAGCCCTGTACTAAGAGTGCTTAGACATTCCTTTTAGAATCATCACCTCCATATATTTGCTTCTAATGTACTGTTTTAACACCCCCACAATCAGCAAGACTTTGTATTGGCTTTTTGTTTTTGTTTATGAGACAGGGTCTCACTCTGTTGCTCAGGGTGGAGTACAGTGGCACGATCATGGCTCACTGCAGGCCTTGACCTCCTGGGCTCTCCCACCTCAGCATCCCTAGTAGGTAGGATTACAGGCACATACTATCACGCCTGGCTAATTTATTTTTTGTAGAGATGGCATCTCGCCATGTTGCTCAGGCTGGTCTGGAACCCTTGGGCTCAAGCAGTCATCCTGCCTTAGCCTCCCAAAGTGCCGGGATTACAGGCATAAGCCACCTCACCCAGCCCTTTTCAAGCATTCTATATATTTTACTATAGAAATTTATTGTTATAAAATTACATTTGTTCTCCATACTTTTGTTTTCTACCTCTTCTATCTTTGGCCCCTGGTAGAGGAAGAAAAAGTCTTATTCAAAACTGAAACTGGGCCGGGCATGGTGACTCATGCCTATAATCTCAGCACTTTGGGAGGCTGAAGCGGGCAGATCACTTGAGGTCGGGGGTTCCAGACCAGCCTGGCCAACATGGCAAAAACCTGTCTCTATTAAAAATACAAAAAATTAGCCAGGCGTGGTGGCAGGCATCTGTAATCCCAGTTACTTGGGAGGCTGAGGCAGGAGAATCGCTTGAACCCCAGAGGCAGAGGTTGCAGTGAGCCAAGATCGCGCCACCACACTCCAGCCTGGGCAACATAGCAAAACTCTGTCTCAAAAAAAAAGAAAAGAAACAGTGATACTTAAAGTTGTAGACCTCAGTTCTATTTTAATTGTAAACTTCTCAACCCTTCAAGCACCAAAAATAAATGCCCACCTATTCCTCTTTAAAAAAAAAAAAAATCATGCTCTTCAAGGCAAGATTACAAGTTAGTATAAAAGGCTACTCCCCCAGTTGTTTTTCAATTTTTTTTTTCCTTTCCTAGAGACAGTGTCTCACTTTGTAGGCCCAGGCTGGTTTCAAACTCCTGGCCTCAAACCATCCTCCCACCTTTGCCACCCCAATTGCTAGGATTATAGACACAAGGCCCTGAGTCCAGCCAGGCTCTTTCATTTTAATATCAGAATTTATACTAACATGTTATTTTGTTTCTTAAGGTTGGAATACACACCAAGGCTTGGTTTATTGCTGGGATCTTTTTGCTGTTGACTATACCTATATCGCTGTGGGTGATATTGCAACACTTAGTGCATTATACACAACCTGAACTACAAAAACCAATAATGAGGTAAAACAATGTATTTGATTCCACTAGTGTTGTGTTGGCTTATTTCATAAATATGACATAGAATTATTTTAATTTATGTTTTCCTTTTTCAATAGGATTCTTTGGATGGTACCCATTTACAGTTTAGATAGTGTAAGTATGTTTCATTTTTATCTCATTAACTAAACTTGTTTGATGATACTAGCTATACTTACAGAATGCTTAAGATAATGAAAGTATGTTACTGACAATAAGGAGTCAGATTAATAAGAAAAGTAAAAAGGTTCACTTGTTTCTGATGTTGATAGAGAATATAAAGTATGATAATTAAAAATGTAAATGTGGTATTTTAAATGTTTAAAAATCTACAGCTCTTTGCTTTCTTTTAAACTTTCAGATTGGTAAAGAATGTAATATTTTAAATTATATTACCACTCTTTTTATTAAGTCTTTTATTTGAACCACAAATTTAAAAATCTTCCTCAGTGGATACACATGAAATTGTTATAAATGACTGCTTCTAATTTGAGTAAATATAAAGGAAATATCTATGATCGTATTAAGAAAAGCTTCAGATTTAAGAACTCAAGTACTTACTTTAACTTCTCTATTATTTACCCCTCACTTATGTTTTTGTTTACCAGTATCTAAGATGTTTATTGCTTTTAAACATTCATTTCACAGATTGGCTGATAGCCCTTATGATAAATTTTAGAGAGTCTCATATAAGTATATGACAAGACATCTTAAGCATAAAAGTTAGCTTATTGTAAGTACCATGAATGGAGTGGTGATTTATTTTATCTTAGCTGCAACTATCTTTAACATCTGTGCTTTTTCTTAGTGGATAGCGTTGAAATATCCCAGCATTGCAATATATGTGGATACCTGCAGAGAATGCTATGAAGCTTATGTAATTTACAACTTTATGGGATTCCTTACCAATTATCTAACTAACCGGTATCCAAATCTGGTATTAATCCTTGAAGCCAAAGATCAGCAGAAACATTTCCCTCCTTTATGTTGCTGTCCACCATGGGCTATGGGAGAGTAAGTATGTTTGGTTTAATTTTTTATGTTTTGGTTTTTCATCTAAGCAGAGCTTTTAAGTAGCTATCAGCTCTTTACAAGGCAGGGTGTTAAGTACTAATAGCAGAACAGTAAGTATAAGACAGAGTTCCTACCCTGATGTAGCTCATAGTTGTTTGAAGGCTAACAAAACACAGTTTTGTAATCCCACATACATGTTAGTCTTTTTTTACATTATTAATCCAAAATCAAAAAATTAAAGTATTGCAGGTAAAAACAGTAATCATTTAATCAATATGCTTTTGCAGTTGAGAACCAAGGTCTGCAGATCTTATGTAAGAACACACAGCTAGTTAAAAGACAGAGATAAGATTGTCTAGGTTGTAGAACTGCATATATGAAATAGGAGCAATAAATAGCAGTGTTTGGTAACATAATACATAATACATTATTATATGTTCATGTAGGACATTAAAACATGTCATTTCATTTTGAAAAATAAATTGAGGTTGCAATCGCATTTATTATACAAATGAACCCTTGGTATTTTTCAGCAAGCAAACATTTGGAAACAGTGTTTTAGAAAGATTCATTTTGCAATATCATAAAGAATGAATTGGAGGGACGAAGACTGCATAGATGGGGAAATAAGGAGTTTATAATAATCTATTTGTGAAATAAAACTGAAAAGGAGAGATGAGATTGGAACAGAAAAGAAAGGCAATAAGAGAATGCAACTGAAAAATCAGTAAGACTTGACCACTAATGCAACTGCCCAAGGGGTTCACCTTACTGGCTGCTTAGACAGAACTGATTGATCAACATAGGGGAATTACAAAGATAAGAGTAATTCACACAGAGCCAGCTGTGCAGGAGATAGGAATTTTATTATTACTTAAATCAGCCTCCCCAGGCATTCAGGAATCAGAGTTTTTAAGGATAATTTGTTGGGTAGGGGGAAGCCAGTGAGCCAGTTAGTGCTGATTTGTGAGAATTGAAATCATAGGGAGTTGAAGCTGTCCACTTGCGCTGAGTCAGTTCCTGGGTGGGCAGCCATAAGGTCAGATGAGCCAGTTTATTGATCTGGGTGGTGCCAACGGTTCCGTCAAGTGCAGGGTCTGCAAAATATCTCAAGCACTGATTTTAGGAGTTGTTTAGGGAGGGTCAGAATCTTGTAGCCTCCAGCTGCATGATTCCTAAACCATAATTTCTAACCTTGTGCTAATGTTAGTTCTACAAAGGCAATCTAGTCCCCAGGCAAGATGGAGGTTTTGCTTTGGGACAGGGCTGTTTCTATAACTTTGGGAAAAACTATAAACTAAGTTTCTCCCAAAGTTAGTTCAGCCTATGCCCAGGAATGAACAAGGACAGCTTGGAGATTAGACACAAGACAGAGTCGGTTAAGTTAGATCTCTTTAACTGTCTCAGTCATAATTTTGCCAAGGCAGTTTCACTAATAAATGAGGAATAAGGTGGAAATTACAAGCCAGAGTAAATGAAGTTAATGAGTCTAGACATACAACATAAGAATGACTGCATTGCCTCCTATACAGTACAGGACCATTTGTACAAACTCCTGACAAATTCTGTCTTTATTTACACCCTTGAAATGATAGGGAGCTACCTGGCTTTTTAAAATAATAAGCTACTAAGGCGTTCATTTGACAAATATGTATTGAGCACCAAGTATGTTCTAGTATAAAGATAGATCCTAGTGCACAGAACAGACATAGACCTCATGGAACTTAGTTTGGTTAGGAGAGTTAAGAATTAAATGAAGACACAAATATATAGTTACTTATTTCAGAAAATGCAATGAAGGAAAAAGAACAGGAGGCCATCAGAGAATAGTAAAGACAAATTAATGTAGATTGGTTATCGGGGAGAGAGATTGTGCTCAACTCTGAAGGCAACAAGGACAAATGGGCATTTATAGATAGAGGGTGTTGAGGGGGGTCAGTGAATGCAGAATTATGAAGAGGGGACATCAGGGCTGGGAGGATTCTCATCAAACTGAATGAACAGGATTCTTGCCAAAGGCAGGCCAAGGCCTTAGTCATCAAGGGTGGGGGCTGAGGAATTTGATCAGATGTTAAAGGTGATCAGGTAACAAAAGGGGCTGGGGAATGACTTAGCAAGATTCTTCTAGACTGACTTACAGACCAAGGACAGGGCCCAAGGATGAAGAGGAGTTGAAAAGAGGAGTCAGAGCTTGTCTAAAGTTTGGTAAATGAGAGTCTTTATCAAATGAGAAACCATTTATAGGATGTTATGCAGAAAACAGGTGTCTAAATTTCATTTTCAAAGATTACTGTTTTGTTTTGAGATAAGAGTCTTGCTCTGGTCACCCAGGCCGGAGTGCAGTGGCACAATCTCAGCTCACTGCAACCCGTCTCCCAGGTTCAAGCGATTCTTATGCCTTCACCTCCCAAGTAGCTGGGATTATAGGCATGTGCCACCATGCCCAGCTAATTTTGTTATTTGTTTTGTAGAGACAGTTTTGCCATGTTGGCCAGGCTGGTCTCAAGTGATCCACCCACCTCAGCCTCCCAAAGTGCTGGGATTATAGGCATGAGGATTGCTTGAGCTCTGGAGTTTAAGACTAGCCTAAGCAACACAGTGAGACCACATCCCTAAAGAAAATTTAAAAATAGCTGCTGTGGGGACACACATCTATAGTCCCAGCTACTCAGGAGGCCGGGGTGGAAGGATTGCTTGAGCCCAGGAGGTCAAGAGTAGCCTGGGCAACACAGTAAGACCCCATGTCTACAAAAAATTAATTAGCCAGGTGTGGTGGTATGCACATATAGTACTAGGTACTCAGGAGGCTGAGCTGGGAGAATCTCTTGAGCCCAGGAGATCAAGGCTGCAGTGAGCCATGTTCACACCACTGCACTCCAACCTAGGCGACAGAGTAAGACCCTATCTCTGAAAAAAAAAAAAATGGCATTTAGATAATTTGTTTCCTGCCATCCACATTCTTCTGCCACTGTTATTAAGGATGACTAAATTGAAAGAATTAACTATAAATATGGTATCATTCATCAAAGTGATTTTAATTTGGAGGCTTTGGGGAAAATCTGATGCTATTTAATAAGAAGTTGAAATTTTAAATTCTTTTTCTTTTACAGAGTATTGCTGTTTAGGTGCAAACTAGGTGTATTGCAGTACACAGTTGTCAGACCTTTCACCACCATCGTTGCTTTGTAAGTACTTGGATTTTTATATGAACTTTTTTTTTAATCGTTGTGCTCTTATGTGGAAACAACTAAGTAGAAAACAAAGTGTTAATGTGCTTATTTATAATGCAGGTCTACTCTGTTGTAAAAAAAAAAAAAAACACTTTATAGAAACTTACTCTATTAAAATGAATAACATGACCATTTATAGGCAAAGAATCATCACAGGGGTCTTCTAAATATTTACATCCTCTCTAGAGCTAGCTTGCTGTAAAGCATTTTGAAAAAAAGAAAAAAAATGCTTTCTTTTTCAAATACATAGCTTTACAGAAACCCTATTGCCTGAAGTTAAAGTATGCTATTTTAAGTTCATTCCAGTTTTATTTTCTACATAATGTAGAATATATTAAAAGTATTCTAAGAAAGAAGTCATATTTTCTTTTAATATATTCTGTCAAGGCTTAGAATTGAGGTAAATGGTTATCATTAAGCTACCTGGCAAAACTATTCCCTAAAAATTCAAAAACATCAAATACTTTAATGCCAATAGATTACATGTTTTATCTCTTAGTTGTTACTAACATTCTTCTTGCTCACAGAGGAAAAGTGAAAAGAAAGACTGGTGAAAAATTATTCATTCTGCCTTTGAGCTAGCAATTATTTAGCCATTTAATTATGAAGGCATGCTTTATTTCCCTGCAGCTTAGAAATTGGGTAAGATTCTAATCATACTGATGGTAATATTTATTTGAAGGCATCTGGGTCTTCATAAAATTTACCTCCAAGATAATTGAAGGGAAAAAATTAACAACTACAGTTACATACACCTGCATTATATTATGTTTTACAATCAAGCTTTCCCAAAATTAGACAGCAGAGTTGGTTTTTTTAAATTTAGTACTCTTTTGGTTTACTGTTATATGTCTTATTTGGAATTTTCTTCAAGATGAAGGAATAATCATATGGTAACATGTCTAGAAAAATGGGTTTCTTTTCACTTTTGAACCACCTCTATATCCAAAGTCAAGTGATTGTCAGTGGAATCTCTCAATAAACTGACTTCTAAATTCTCTGTGTCCAAAGTCAAGTGATTGTCAATGGGATCTCAAATAAACTGACTTCTAAATTTAAGTATTGCCATTGCTGTATTTTAAAGTACTATTTTGATTTAGTTAAATATAGAGATATCTCATTTTTAATTTTTTAGAATCTGCGAGCTGCTTGGTATATATGACGAAGGGAACTTTAGCTTTTCAAATGCTTGGACTTACTTGGTTATAATAAACAACATGTCACAGTTAGTAAGTAAATTTTCATTTTTTTTAACTGTACTAAATTAGTATCTATAAATAAATTTCTTTAGACAGAGTTTCTTCTTAAGACTTGCTTCTTTTTAATCTTTCTATAGATTAAATTTGAAATTTTTAAATTCAAATATAAATTTAATTTATAGGAAGATTTATAGGAACACTTGAAAAAAACTTTAATATACATCTTAATACATATATAAACATATGTCTTTATTTGGTGACTTATACCCTCACATGTTGACCGTGTTTGTTCATTTATTTATGTTGCTTATTGCATAGCTATATGAGTATGTCATAAATAAAAACACAGTGCTACATAAAAAAAAAATACATACACACAACACACCCACATATACTGAGCATATTCAGAAGAGAAAATATCAAATTGGTATTTGACGGTACAGAGTTTGAATTAACATGCAAGAATAAAATTCTCTGTTATATATTTGGAGTAAAAGGAAAATTGAGAGAATGCCAAGTTTAAAAAAATAGATGATATTCTAGAAACTGTAATGTTCCAAAGATCTATGATGTAATGTTCTATTTGATCTTATGAGCTTAAAAAAATGTGCATTTTATTTAAATTCTTTGGCTAATGCTTTCAGCAAAATAATTCAGATGCAATGGTGTGCACATTTAGTATTAGAGCTTTATAATAAAAATTAAATGTCCATGTAGCCAAAGCTTTTCCGGATGTTTATCCTCTTTGGAACCAGTAATTCTGTTTCTGGAAATGTATTCTAAAGAAATGTTCAGAAGTATGTTTGCCTTAAGTATCTTTGTATATAAAGCTTACTACTTGTAAATAACAAAAGGCTAAAAGCAATCCAAAAACCAGTGATGGGTACTAGTTGAATACACTATGGTCTTTCCATTGACCAAAATATTAGGCAGTTATTAAAAATAAGCTTAATGAAACATATAGAATTTAGGTATTTTTAGTGGAAAAAACATTAGGCAATAAAATTTTGTTAATTAATTCATGACAGTTATTTACAAACTGGCTTATCTGTACAAAGGATGATTAGAGACCATGAAAAACTTTATTCTTTGTTTACTACTTTCATATTCTGAAATAAATTTAGCATTTTATATTATTTTAATGGGGAAAAGTGAACTTTGAGGAAAATGTTTATTGTTATTCAGCACTACACTAGGTTATTACAGATTTCTAAAAATAGTAAGTCTTGTTCATTTTTAAAAATAAATCTAGCTGCACTAATACACTACCCTCAGGAAAAATTGTTTCATTGATTCTTTACATTCAGATATCAGTCACTATTTTTATGGAAATTGTACTTGTTTAATGCATTACCTTAGTGACATAGGATAGACTAGGTAATAAGCTAAAGCCTTATAAAATTAGTGGTCATTTATGTTTAAAAGCCATTACAACAGATGGATGTTTTTTATTTTAGCTGAACAAGAGCCATTTCTTCCATTTATGTCAGTCATTTGTTTATTGTTCCCTTATGGAACCCTGGAAGTGAACACTTAAAAACATTTTTCAGAAAGATATTGTATAAAGTATATATTCATCTATAATAAACTACAAGAGCTTGTTAATCTAAAAATAGAATAATAAAGCCTAGAAAAGTTTGCCTGAAACATTACTCTGTTCCAGGTCTCTGGTATGTAACTTTAATATTTCTGTTACCATATCTATCTATACTTACTGAAGAAGTTTAAATGTTACTCTTGTTTCTAGTTTGCCATGTATTGTCTCCTGCTATTTTATAAAGTACTAAAGGAAGAACTGAGCCCAATCCAACCTGTTGGCAAATTTCTTTGTGTAAAGCTGGTGGTTTTTGTTTCTTTTTGGTAAGTGTTAATTTCTTTTAAATGTTCTCATTTTCTGAAGGGCAATAAAAACGGTCAGTAAGGATGATTTTTAAACATAGTCTTAATGTGGAAGATGGATTAAAATGTCTGCTTATCTTTTAAAAAGTTCCTCCTTTTAGTCTTCTAGGATTTTCAAAATAAATATATGGTCACTTCATTTATATGAAGAAAACAGTTTGAAACAACCTAAATATCTCAATACTAGAATAATTATTAAAATAAATCATGGCCCTGTCATATAATAGAATACTATGCATTTTGGAAGAAAGCATTGATATAGAATATTTAATAATATGGGGAAATAGTAAATATTTTTAAAACAGAAGGAAAACTATACATAGTTGCAATTTAGTAAAGAGGGTGCCTTGGCTCACACCTATAATCCCAGCACTTTGGGAGGCCGAGGCGGGTGGATCACCTGAGGTTGGGAGTTCAAGACCAGCCTGGCCAACACGGTGAAACCCCTTGTCACTAAAATACGAAAATCAGCCGGGCATGGTAGCAGGCAGCTGTAATCCTAGCTTACTTGGCAGGGAAGGCAGGAGAATCACCTAAACCCAGAAAGTGGAGGTTGCAGTGAGCCAAGATCACACCACTGCACTAGTCTGGGCACCAGAGTGAAACTCCCATCTCAAAAAAAGAACAAAAAAAAAATTTATAAAGAGGTGGGTAATAGGGATCCTAGAAACAAATATACCAAATTTAACAGCTAGAAATAATACGAAAAGGGAAAAAGAAAAATCCCTGAAATCCCACCACTAAGAAGAATGATTAACATTTTGGTAAACCTGTGTTACATATAAAACTCCAGAGAAAGTTTGTGAAATTCGTCAATGTGTACAGTATATTGTAGATGTAGTTATTTGTCAGTAAAGAAAAAAAAGTTTTGTTGTTTGGCAGTGGGGTGGGTATTTTTTGTGGGAGCTTTTTTTTTTTTTTTGCTTTTGCTTAGTATTCTGTTATGTGGATATAACTTTTTATTAATCTCCTTTTGATATTTAGGTTGTTCCTAATTTTTTGACCATACAAGAAACACTGAAGTGAATATTCTTGTATATAGAACTATGGAAGTGTGTCTATTTCATTATTTGCCGTTTAAATTTTACCTGGGGCCATTATCTCTAGATTTGTTTGGAATGCTCAGCTTCACTCCCTATCTTGGGGCAAAACTGTTCTAGAAAAATAAATTCATAAAGCAAATTAATAGATTTAACATAGATACAGTTTCTTCAGCAGTATGCTGTCAAGGCAGGGTGGTGGTGGTCCACAGGTTGCGCTGGGGTCTTTTTTTTAATGGCACATTTTTAAAACTGCTGCTCATTTTATGCTTGATATAGATTTGGCGTTTACCTTTTCCTAACATATAGGCAAGCAGTAGTTATTGCTTTGTTGGTAAAAGTTGGCGTTATTTCTGAAAAGCATACGTGGGAATGGCAAACTGTAGAAGCTGTGGCCACAGGACTCCAGGTAAGTAGTGCCATCTCTGAATTCAGTAGAACTTCACTATTTGTTAAGCATTTCTATATATCTCCCCTGAACCTGACAACACACAGGGTATGGGGCTATTATCCTCACTTTTCAGGTGAGAAAACAGGGGAACCCTAGGGAAACTGACCATAATTACTGATTTGTAGCAAAGCCGTGAATAAAACTTTCTACATTTCTCCTTGTAATCTTTGGGTGATGCAATACAATATACTTGATGTGACTGAGAATGAATTGTACTTTGCTAAGAAATACTTGAGGTTGGCCAGATGCAGTGACTTACACTTGTAATCCTAGCACTTTCTAAGGCCAACACTGGGGGAATGACTTGACTCCAGGCATTCGAGACAAGGCTGGGCAACAAAGAGAGGCTTCATCTCTACAAAAAATTAAACCCCGTCTCTACTAAAAATACAAAAATTAGCTGGGCAAGGCGCCGCGTGCCACCTTGAGATGGGGTTTCACCATGTTGACCAGGATGGTCTCAATCTCTTCACCTTGTGATCCACCCGCCTGCTGCTGCTGCTTGGAGGCTGCTTAGGAGGCTGAGGCAGGAGAATTGCCTGAATCCAGGAGGCGGAGGTTGCAGTGAGCCGAAGTCGCGCCATTGCACTCCAGCCTGGGTAACAAGCAAAACTCCATCTCAAAAAAAAAAGAAAGAAAAGAAAAGCAGAGAAAGATTGCACTCTACAAAACTAAATTTAAATCCAAAGGTGGCTGATATTGTTGTTGTTGTTATAGGACTTTATTATCTGTATTGAGATGTTCCTCGCTGCCATTGCTCATCATTACACATTCTCATATAAACCATATGTCCAAGAAGCAGAAGAGGGCTCATGCTTTGATTCCTTTCTTGCCATGTGGGATGTCTCAGATATTAGAGATGATATTTCTGAACAAGTAAGGCATGTTGGTAAGTACCAGCTATTTAATTAAACCAAATAAGTTAGGTAGGATATTGAATTTCTCCTACTAGAGCAATTTAGTAGCTATTTAGAGATGAAAAAACACTTCCAAGCAGTACCACAGTCCAGGCTCATCAACTTTGGGGAGTGGGAGAGAGGGAAGTGGGGAGCATATTTTTAGAATGGTAAGTTTATAATGGTAAAAATAACTTTTGATTAACATAGAAAACTTTATATTAAAGGACGGACAGTCAGGGGACATCCCAGGAAAAAATTGTTTCCCGAGGATCAAGATCAAAATGAACATACAAGCTTATTATCATCATCATCACAAGATGCAATTTCCATTGCTTCTTCTATGCCACCTTCACCCATGGGTCACTACCAAGGGTTTGGACACACTGTGACTCCCCAGACTACGCCTACTACAGCTAAAATATCTGATGAAATACTTAGTGATACTATAGGAGAGAAAAAATCTTCAGATAAATCCGTGGATTCCTGAACAGTATGGAAAAGCAAGCTGTGCAACTACTATATTATATCATTACCTGGTATCCCATGGATTTTGTGCTTGGGACAAACCATAAAAGATGGAAAATGTCAACACAAAAATAGCTGAAAGCCAGGTACAACTACTGGATTTATATATGTAAGTTTTGTATATCAAAAGTAATTGGTCTAAATTTCCTAGACTTAGTCTTGATTTCTTAACATTCGAGTATCACATACTCAAATGGTAGACAATGACCCCAACTAAATCTTCCTGATGTCACACTGCTTTATCAAGAGGATGGACATTTTTTTTTAAAAATCAGTACTTCCTACCACTGCTGCATGAATATAATGCTCTGGAATTAACAGAAAGCATAATGCAGAAATACAAATTAGTGGAACTTAATCATGTGCCATATAAGCTCACCTAACAAACAATTATATCTCTATTTCTCAAATGAATGTCTTTCAATAAATAAGAATTTATCATTTATTTTCTGCAACATTTTTATGTCTCATTCTTTAAACATAAACTCTCAAATTGTTTTAACAAAAATTTCTTGATTAGAGGCACAGTGAAAAAAAGTCAGTCCAAAAAAAAGTACTACTTTTCGTCAGTGATATAAAAGGTGGCAGCAAATGTAAATCTTGGCTGAGTGGTCTTAATTACTCATGAAACCACAGTCAGAAGACATGTACGTGTTATTTGGGAAAACTTTATTACCTAGGATGGGGTTTCTCGAATTGCTTATCACAACCCCACTGTGTCAGGTTTGACATTTTATAATGAAAATAAAATAGAAAATGCATTGTATGTTACAGAAAGCAAAGATAACTATTGTTTCTCATAGCCTTTGCTTTATATATATATATAGTGGTTCACAATAATTATACAGTCTTTTTTTTCTTTCCACTATTATAAACCTTTCTATTAAAAGTGAGCTATATGTAAAAACCCCAAAGACACACACACAAAAAAAAAAATCTGTTAGAACAAGTGAATTCAGTAAAGTCTCAGAATACAAAATCAACATACAACACTAGCATTTTTATACATAAATAATGATCTAACTGAAAAAGCAAGATGCCATTTATGATAGTATAAAAAAAATACTTAAGAATAAATTTAACACCAAGGCAGTAAAAGATCTGTACACTGAAAACTGAAATATTGATGAAAGAAATTAAAGACACAAATAAATGGAAAAGATATCCTGTGCTCATGGGAAAAATTAATAGTTAAAATGGTCACACTACCCAAAGCAATTCAGAGTCAATGCAATCCTATCAAAATGCCAATGGCATTATTTATAAAAATAGAAAAAAATTCTAAAATTCATATGTAACCATAAAAGGCCCTGAATAGGCAAAATAATAATACTGAGGAAAAAAAGTTGGAGACATCACATTTCCTAATTTTAAATTACATTACAAAACTATAGTAATCAAGACAGTATGGTACTGGTATAAAAACACATACATAGACTAGTGGAACAGAAGAAAGAGCCCAGAAATAAATCCAAACATATAGGGTCAACTAATTTTTGACAAAGACACCAAGAAGACACAGCAGGGAAAGAACAATCTTCATTAAGTGGTGTTGGGAAAACTGCATTTCCACATCCAAAACAATGAAATTGGACCCTTAGACCTACACAACAGTCAACTCAAATTGGATAAAAGACCTACATCTAAGAACAGAAACTATAAAACTAGAAGAGAACATAGAAAAGTTCCTGGACACTGACCATTGGCAATGATTTTTTTGGATGTCACACCAAAAGCACAGTCAACAAAAGCAAAAACAAATGTGACTACATCAGACTAAAAAGCTTCTGTTAGCAAAAGTCAACAAAATTAAATAGCCTACAGATTGAATAAAAAATATTTGTAAGCCATACATCTGAAAAAGGGTTAATAACCAAAATTTATAAAGAATTCATACAACTCAATTTTTAAAAGAGGCAAAAGACCTGAATAGACATTTCTCCAAAGAAGACACAGATGGCCAACAGGTATAGAAAAGGGTGGTCAACATAATCATCAAGGAAATGCAAACAAATCAAAACCACTCTGAAATACTACCTCTCACCAGTTAGGCTAGCTATTATCAAAAAAAAAAAAAAAAAAGACAACAAATGTTACCAGTTAGGCTAGCTATTATCAAAAAAAAAAAACAAAAGACAACAAATGTTAGGATGCTATCGAGTAAAAGGAACTCTGTACACTATTGTTGGGAATATAGATTGGTACAGCCATTATGGAAAACAGAATGGAAGTTTCTAAAGAAAGATAAAACTACCATATGATCCAGCAATCCCTCTTCTGGGCATATACTCAAAGGAAATGAAATCACCACCTTGTAAATATATCTACAGTCTGTGTTCATTGCAGCATTCACAGTAGACAACATATGGAGACAACTGAATTGTGTGTTGACAGATGAATAAAGAAACTGTGTATATATATGCATACACACAATGGAATATTATTCAGCCTTAAAAAAAAAAAAAAAAAAAAAAGTGCTATCTTGCCATTTGCTACAACATGCATAGGCCTGAAGGACACTGTGCTAAAATGAAGTAAGCCGGACAGAAAAAAAGATACTGCATAATCTCACATATATGTGGAATCTTAAAAAAAAAATCAAAATATATAAAGAACAAAACTGGTTATGGGTGGCTGGGAGGAATGGGGAAGTATAGCTCAAAGGATTCAAGGTAGCAGATACGTAAGATGAACAAATTTAGAGACCTAATGTACAATATGAGGATTTTAGGTAATAAAATTGTACTGTATTTGGGATTCATGCTAAATTAGTAAATTTTGGCTGCTTTTGTCAAGAACAAAAAATAGATGGGTAACTGATGATGGATATATTACTTTGCTTCATCTCATATACCTTAAATGTATGCAATAAAACTTATTTTAAAAATAAAGCTGGGTAGTATAATAATAGAGATAATAAGAATAGGTAGTCTGAAGCAAAGATGTGTCTTATTTTCTTTGTGGCTTACAAAGAGCATACAGCATACAGGAGGCATGATAATAATCTTCCTTTATTTCAAGTCTATAAAAATTGGATCAATTAATATACTTACTGTGCATCCAAATCAAAACTTTGAAAAATAGTTTAGGATTAATTTTCTTCAATTTAATTTTGCTTTGTTACCAGCTTTTAAATGTTCTTTTGCCAAAGTAGACCAAGAAAAATGCTGCCTCCTGAAGATTTATTCCCTGACACCTTTACTGTTCTAATTACATTTAGCTTATAGCTTAAATTCTTATTCAAGTTTGCATTCTCAAAACAACTTGAGATGTTTCAGATGTACACTGAGTATTTAAAGGAAGCAAGATCAAAATTTACAGTTAACCATAACCCTCAGTCTTCAGTGGAAGCCTTTCAGTGTTTCCCAATTGCAAGTTTGGATTTAAGAAAAAAGGCCAAGATGCCTACAAATTTAAAGTTTTGCTTTACTTACTGACACATGACAATAACAATGAGACTATTAAAATCCTTATTCCATAATATCAAGCAAAATAAGTTTCCTAATTCAAAAAACTAGTGATGTATCCTTTTCTAGAAAGCTAGTCTGCAGCAGTATTTCTATAATAATGCTACTCTTTAGGATCTTTTAAAATATGCTTTATTAATGTTAATTTTTAAAAATATTTGACCATTACAAGGAATTTTTATATACTCCCAGTAATTAAGACAAGAATTTTTGTACTTGATGCTGTATTTAAAGTTTTCATTGAAAAACTGCTCTTCATTGCTTTACTGTGATGCTGACATTGCTTTTGTGGTGCTGAACGCTGAGTACAAGTTCCTCTCCCATCTCAACCTGGATGGGATTATCTAAAACAACTGCAGCTTGTTTCCAGTGGGAGGCTTGACTTGAAGTATCCAAGCAAATCTCTTCATCAAGGTACATATGATACCAAAATGGAACAGCCGTCACTCTTCCAGATTTACAAATGTGTACCTATGAAAATTAAGAAATTATGAAAATATCAGAGTACATTGAGAAGACTTAGATACGTCTCTTTTTACTTTTAAAAACAAAAAATTATTTTAAAATACATTTCACCACCCAATTTGTATTAATATTAACCTATTTTATTCACTAATATTTACTTATATGTTTACAAAGTATTACCTAATTTAATTATTCTATTTTTTGTGTTATACTTACCTTTACTTCTCTGTTAGAGGTGTTCAAATATGGAGTCATTAAATCTAGTCTTAAGAGTTCCACTGGCTTGCTTAAAGGTATACAGGGCAATGAGGACAGGTCCAAAAATACACGTATAGGTACCTAAAGAAAGTATAAATTTTTCACTTTCACTTGTTTTGTGGTCAAGGCTCAAGCTTTTCACTTTTCCACATTCCTTTTGTGGTCAGGGCTTGCTTTGACACTTGGTTCAGTATGATAGATTACTTTTTACATTACCTCCTTTATATTCCACATCAAGCTAAGGCTGCCTTTCATTGTTGCAGTACAGACAGAACAAACCAAGCAAGGTTTAGGCAGGTTAGATAATTTGCTCTGGTTTCCATTACCTGTAGATCTTTCATTTGGATGAGAACACATTAAATTTTTACTTAAGCCGAACAGCTCTAAAACTTTTAAGTCAAAGATTTGCTTATGTAATAGTACGACAATAAATGAATTGTTTCAGAATGATGCCAGATTCAATCAAACAATAGTGAATTTCATTTGGAAAATAAGTTTATTTCTAAAAGGCAGTGGTTCTCAATCTTGGCTACAAATTAAAATCACCTGGGGAGGTTTTTAAAGCCCAAATGTTCAGGCCACCCCCCAAATCATTTGGTGTTAGGATCCACAGATGTTTCCAGTGTACAAAGCTGAGAATCACTATTAGGTGTTCTATCAAGTTTAGTAGCAATGGAATGCTACTATTAATACTAATAATTTTTAATCTCATCATTTGAAACAGAAAGGAAACTGTCATTTAAAAAACACTTTTCTTTGAGTAAGGCGAAACAGGACACAGATACATTCACCCCTCCCTGGGCATCCTTGAAAGCATAAAACCTTTCTTCCCCATAAAAACTCAACAGTGACCCCACGCGATTTCTAAGACTCCTCGTTATGCCTTTTGTTCCTATTTTTACATCAAACACCAAAAGAAGCCCTAGATTCCCACGTCACCTCTTATCACCTGGCTCCTAATCCCCACACTGCGGAACCCACACCTCGTAGTTGGCCCCAACTTTTCTCTCACACTAACTTTACTGGCCCACTCCTGTTTTTTGTTTTTTGTTTTTTTTCTTTTTGACAGAGTCTCACTCTGTTGCCCAGACTGGAGTGCAGTGGTGGGATCACTGCTCACTGCAACCTCTGCCCCCTGGGCTCAAGTGATCCTCCCACCTCAGCCTCCCAAGTAGCTAGGACTACAGGTGCCCACCCTCACATCTGGCTAATGTTTGTATTTTTTGTAGAGACGGGCTTTTGCCATGTTGCCCAGGCTGGTTTGAACTCCTGGACTCAAGCAATCTGCCCTCCTTGGCCTCCCGAAGTGCTAGGACTACAGGCATGAGCCACCATGCCTGGCCCTCCTGTCATGTTTGCTAGCTCTTTCTATATAACCAATCTAGAGCTTGTAACTTTTAGTTCTCTAGACTGCAGTTCCCAGCCTCTTTATCTACATGCCCCCCATGGTATTTCATCCAGTCTTATGGCCTTAAATACCAGCTACATGCTGATAAGTGCCAAATTTAAATCTTCAGCCCAGAGCTTTCTCTGAATTCTTACCCAGTTGCTCAGTGACCACAGCTACACACAAAGCCCGATCCTATTTTGCCTATTATCCGTAAATGGGAACTATTCTTCCATGTGCTTTCAACTAAAAAAAAAAAATGGGAGTCCTCCTTCATAGCCCACATCCAACATATCAAAAATTCTACCTTTATTATTTTCAGAGACAAGCTCTTGCTGTTGCCCAGACTGTAGTGCAGTGGCACAACCTTAGCTCACAGCAGCCTCAACCTCTTGGGCTCAAGCAGTCCTCCCACCCCAGCCTTCCAAGTAGCTGGGACTAGAGGGGCATACCGCCATGCCCAGCTAGTTTTTGTAATTGAGACAGCCTCACTTTGTTGCCCAGGCTGGTCTTGAACTCCTGGACTCAAGCAATCCTCCCACCTCGGCCTCCCAAAGAGCTAGCAATGCAGGCATGAGCCACCGCACCCAGCCCTACCTTTAAAATATATCTAGGATCTGACCATTGTGCAACACTTTCACTGCTACTACTCCAGTCAAAGCCTCTGACACCTCTCATCTGGATTACTACAATAATTTAATGCCTTTGCCTGGTCTCACCAGTGTTTTATTCCTAACACAGCAACCATAGCAATCATAAGCAATTGTAAGTCACATCATGTCAAGCCTCTGTTCAAAACCTTCCAGTTGTTTACTACGCTTTTCAGAGCAAAAACCAAAGTCCTTACAATCGCAGAAAGTCTACATCTGGCCCCTGATACTCTGCATCTCTCATCACTCTTCATCTTGGTGTCTTCTTGGGATTTCTGATACTCCAATCATGATCTTGCCTCGGGCTGTTTACACTTGCTGATCCTTTGTGTGATTGCTTCCTTATTTCTTTCAAATCTCTTTTGACTTATCACTTACCCATGGGTCCTTTCCTTAGGTGTAACCTACAGAAAATAGTATTTCCCATACTCCAAACTCCCTTAGCATGCTTTATGTCTAAGCACTTCTCATCATCTATCACAGCAGTCTTTTTACATGTTTATCGTCTCTTCCAATGCAAATAAATGCTAAATCCATGAGTGCAGGAACTTCTTTTTAATTTCATAGCCATATTCCAAAAATCTAAAATGTACATGTAGTAGTAGATATTCAGTAAACATTTGTTAAATGAATATAGTTGTTTTCTGTTAAAACTTTTCATTTTGTTTCATTGGTTCAGTCAGTTGTCTATAATAGTCAGATAATCATCATATTAAAGGAGAGGAGACATCTATGAAAATAAGTGAATGGTCTACAAAATGTAAAGCTGCCAGGAAAGAATATGGAGCTTCTTGAGATGAGAGGTCATCAGTTGAAGTGAGACTCCAGTTGCAGGGGCCAGCTGTAGCAGTACTAGTGTAGAGAATGCAGAGTTGTGTTTAACAAAGGTAGGGTTTTTTAAGGCCAGTAGAAAAACTGAAAATTTTATTTTTAAATCACATAAATAATTATACAAAAAATATAGTCCATGGAAATTAAGCTGTTCAGGGAAAAGAGGACATGAGATAGAAGTACAATGAAAAGATGGCAGTATCAGTATATTGTAAATTCTGGCAGAATCAAAAAACTGCTGATGTTATGATCAAGAGTAAATGAGGCAGAAAGATAGGAGATGGTGTTCTGGGACCATACAAAGAAATAAACTTCTCTACCCTCTGGTAATTGTATTCTCTATTAAACCCTTCAAAAAAACTGAGATTAAACAAACTGTAAAACCACAGTCTGTCAGCCCTGAAAAGCATTTCTCAATTAATTTATACTTGTTCAGCAGGTATTGCTCATGGAAGACCTAAAAGTTAGCTATAACTTCTTTAATTCTGTACTCACCATCTAACTTCCCAAAATTCTGTTTCGGCTTACGTGACAGATCCCACCTCCTTACTATCAATCTCCTACCCCGAACTTCTTCCCTAGACCTTCCATCCACTCCCACTATTTTGTATTCTATTGCTAGTTCTGTGCCAGTTTCAGCTCATTTCTAAATCTTTTTTGTTGTTGTTGTTGAGACAAGATCTGGCTCTTATCACCCAGGCTGGAGTGCAGTGGTGTGGTTTCAGCTCACCACAACCTCCACCTCCCAGGCTCAAGCAGTTCTCCTACCTCAGCCCCGCAAGTAGCTGGGACTATAGGCATGCACCACCACGCCCAGATAAGTTTTGTATTTTTTTTAGAGACAGGGTTTCCCCATGTTGCCCAGGCTCATCTCAAACTTGCGAGCTCAAGCAATCTGCCCTGCCTTTGCCTCTCAAAGTGCCAGGACTACAGGCATGAGCCACCATGCCTGGCCCATTTCTAAATCTTGACTCTATTTCTGAAACAGAGACTAACCCCTTTGCCTTGAGCTGTTTTCCTAGGCTCCTGCATTCCTGCTGTCTGCAGTCTGTCTAGAATCTCAGCATTACCTGTTGACACTTACCAGCTACCAGCCTGAGGTCTCAAGGTAAGGGTTCAAGTTTAGAACATAGATCTTTTTTGGACAAAGACCACTCTTTTTCATAAGATTAAAACCTAGGACTCTTCTTCCATTTATAACAGTGAGTCAGAGGAGTATCTATAAACCTTTTTTTTTTTTTTGAGATGCAGTCTCGCTCTGTGATCCAGGCTGGAGTGCAGTGGCATGATCTCAACTCACTACAGCTCCTCCCTGCTGAGTTCAAGTGATTCTCCTACCTCAGTCTCCAGAGTAGCTGGGATTGCAGGCAAGGACCACCACACCCAGCTAATTTTTTCGTATTTTTAGTAGAGGTGGGATTTCACCATGTTGGCCAGGCTGGTCTTGAACTCCTGACCTCAAGGGATCTACCCGCCTTGCCCTCCCAAAGTGCTGGGATTCTTAGTCACTTAGTTATTTTAATCCAGCTAAACACAGTGACTAAAACTAAAGAGAGAGCGGAGGTAAACTGTGTATAACAACATCCTGGTTGAACCTCTCTAGACACTTACCTGAAACTGGTTAATAAAAGGTGCTATATTTAATCCAAGAGTACGTTCTGTTCCTTGAACAGCATTCTCCTCTAGGAGTGTCTGTGATTCCACAAGCAACCCAAACATCAGCACATACTGAGGAAAGATCTTGCCTCCAGATTGTAGTAAACACCTAAAGAAAAAAATATATATATTAAAAAGCTTTTGGGGCTGGGCCACAATGGCTCATGCCTGTAATTCCAACACTTTAGGAGGCCAAGGTTGGTCAATCACTTCAGCCCAGGAGTTCACGACCAGCCTGGGCAACATGGAGAAACTTCATCTCTACAAAATATATAAAAACTAGCCAAGCATGGTGGCATGTACCTGTAGTCCCAGCTACTTGGGAGGCTGAGGCAGGAGAAATGCTTGAACCCAAGAGGTGGCAGGTGCAGTGAGCAAGATCCCACCACTGCACTACAGCCTAGGTGACAGAATGAGACTTTGTCTTAAAATAAAACAAAAAAAAAAACCTTTTTAATCCCCTACATTTTATAAACATCAGTAACCAAGAATCATGATAAATCAGTAAAGAGCTAGAGATTACATATAGCCTAATGGACTTTGTTATTCATGGCTGGTATTTCAAAATGGTAAATCACTAGAAATAATTTCCCAACTCAAAGTGACTACTGATCAATGAAAGAGAAAAATGATCAGTTAGTTATTTAAATGGACATACGTCTTTAGATCGAGGAAAGAGTCACCAATGGATGTTAAAACTAGTAGGTCAAAGTTTGATTAGGAAAATATCCTTTTACAGTCTCAAAGTATCACCCCCACAAATGACTTATCACAAAGGGGGAAACAGTAACTTATGGAATGGAGAAATGTGTGGATACAACTTAAACCATGTGATTATATTAACATCAAAAATAACGGGACAGGCTGGGCACAGTGGCTGATGCCTGTAATCCCAACACTTTGGGAGGCCAAGGTGAGAGGATTGCTTGAGTCCAGGACTTCAAGATCAGCCTGGGCAACATAGTAAGACCCCTCTCTACAAATAAACTAGCCAGGTGTGGTGGTGCACACCTGTAGTTCCAGCTACTCAAGAGGGTGAGGTGGGAAGATCGCTTAAGCCCAGGAGGTACACACTGCAATGAGCAGTGATTGCCCCACTAGAGAGACATGAAAACTAAATGAAATAAATGATCCTAGATTGGATTCCAGACCAGGTACAAAAAGCTACAAAGGACATTCTTGTGACAACTGGTGAAATCTGGGTAAGATTTGTAGCTTAGAATAACAGTATTGTGTCCCTGTAAATTTCCTGATTTTAATAATTGATTATATAAGTACAGTGATTATATAAGTGAATGTCCTATGTATTCCAAGGACATCCACATTTTACCTATGGTTAAGGGAAAGAATCTGAAATGTTTTTTCCTGAATAATTTAGCAAATGTGGAAAACTATCTAGTAGTTTGTGAATCTGAATGCAAGGTTTATGGTTAAGTTCTTTGTATTATTCTTTAATCCAAAGGCTTGAAAATTATTTCAAAAGGTTAAACACTCCAAATGCAAAAAAAAAAAAGTCCAAATACTCTAGTACTCCAGGAGAGTGAGCGAGTCAAGGATTAACAAAATCCTTTCTCTTCCCACAGTTGGCATTGGGTTTACCCGCTCTTTCCCTGAAAATCTTTTAAGAATGGAATGTCAGCTATTTATCAGCAACACCGATTATGGTTTAAAAAAAAAAAGCCTCTTAATAGGTAGACTATAACTGGACAGAGAGAACCACAAACAAAGGACAAATTCCTGATGGGAACCCATACTACATGTGGGCTTCCCTGAGAGTAGGGTAACTTGTAACCAAGTGTTCATATTGCTAGGCCATGGAAGCTGTGCCTATGGGAGAACAGTTTCTATATGAAGTGAAGGGCTCTTAAGCCAAGGCGGCTTCCACACCTACCTATGTAGTCATTTCCTCACACCTGAGCTATGTGCTAGGTGGGACGGGAGAGAAGGATCCACCAACTGACATCCAATGAAACAGATGTAGAGGATACTTTAAACCAAGTAATTATTTTCATTTGCCACATTTACAATCAAATGTCAAATCTACATTTTTATTGAATATTCTAAGCTTGTTTCTACTTGAATTTCTAGAACAGGATACTTGGCAGGTGAACTTTACATTATCATATATATGTTCACAGTAAGTTTTTACGCCTAAAATAGATCTTTAGAGTAAGAATTCACTTATAAAATAGAGAACTAAACATTTCACCTACACATTTGTTCATATCTTAAAAAGTAATTCATACACATTTCTAAAATTATATAGTATACAGTTTCCCTAAATATTTATTAAAACTTAGACAAACGAAGCTATAAAACACTCCATTCCTCAAAACTACTTTGGCACTACGGCCCCAGTTGCTCCTATAGATAACTAGTACAGAATGGTAAACCACTAGAAAATCTCTCTTCATTCACTAAATGTAACATGAGCAGTACTGTAAAAATGTAAGATTGGTCTTTGAGATATTTTCAGACTCAACTGCTCCCGTGACTCCCACCCAGAAACTGACTCAGTGCAGGAAGACTGTTTTTGACAGCCCTATGATTTCATCACTAACCAATCAGCAGTATCCATTCCCTAGCACCCAATCCAGCAAATTATCTTTAAAAACTAGTCTCTGAGCTCTCAGGAAGGTGAATTTGAAAAACATCTCCCATTCTTCTGCTTGGCTGCCTTGTGATCATTAAACTCTTTTTTTTGAGATGGAGTCTCACTCTGTCACCCAGGCTGGAATGCAGTGGCACAATCTTGGCTCACTGCAATCTCTGCCTCCCAGGTTCAGGCAATTCTCCTGCCTCAGCCTCCTGAGCAGCTGGGATTACAGGTGCACATCACCATGCCCAGCTAATTTTTGTATTTTTAGTAGAGATGGAGTTTCACCATGTTGGCCAGGCTGGTCTCAAACTCCTGACCTCAAGTGATCCACCCATGTCAGCCTCCCAAAGTGCTGGGATTACAGGCATGAGCCCACCTAAACTCTTTCTCTACTGTAACTCCTGCTGTTCCTACTGAATTGGCTTTTCTGGGCAGTGGGCAAGAAGAACCCATCAGGCTATAACAAATCAAGGGTTCCCACAATGTCCTCTCTGAGATCAATAACCTGCCAGAATGGCTCACAGAACTCAGAAAAACACTTTACTTATATTTACTTATTTTTTACAAAGGAAGCAACTCAGGAATAGCCAAATATAACATATACATCGGGCAACAGATGCCATAAGGGTTCAGTCTCACATGAATGCCCCTAGTTCAGATGCCAATTTTAAGTCCTGGACTTTCAGTAATTCTGGCCACCTATAAATCTGAAATGACCTTTGCAAAAATTATGGCAGTAAAAGAAAACTAACATAGCTCACTCCATTTTGCTTCTAACCTCACAAACTGGCTGTCCCAGACACAGGGTAAGCTAACTATGGGAGGAATTTTATAGTTTAACTTTAAAGCAAGGATGATACTAGTCTCCTGAAACGAACCCCTTCCGTGTTCAGGGACCAAAACAGCCACTGTAAAACTAATGAAAGGCCACAAGGTTAGGATTATGGGAGGCGCCTGAGTTCTGCTAAGATGTAGGCAGTTAAATGATACCCAGTCATTGTACCCTAACTTGCTTTTCCATAATCCTCTACTGCTCAGGAATCATGGAGCCAGAAATGCTATGGAATTAGTTTTAAATTAATTCTCTGGAATCTTAAAGGCACAAAATCATTTGAACACGGGAGGTGGAGGTTGCAATGAGCTGAGATCATGCCACTGCACTCCAGCCTGGGCAACAGAGCAAGGCTCCATCTCAACAACAAAAAAACAACACTGGGAAGAGAAGTAAATTTTTAGGTAACCTTCACAGAAATTATTTGTCACCAATATAACCAATAATTCAGACAAAACACACTGTCTGAAAATCTATTTATATATATTATATAAATAAATAATATAAAAGCCAATTCCTACTGAATTGAGCTGTTTATTACATATATAAACAGTTTTTTATCACACTGTCTTGAAAACTGTATATATATATTATATATAATTTTTATATATTATATACTTGACAATCAGTCAAGTTTATATACATATATATAATACATATATATAATATATAATACATAATATATATAATACATATATATAATATGTATATAATATGTATATAATTATATGTAATATGATAATATATATAATATATATGTATTAAATATAATATATAATATAATATATATGTATTAAATATAATATATAATATATGTATTATATATTATATAAATATAAACATATATAATATATATGTTATATATATAATGTTATAAAAATATATATATATTATATATATGTATATAAACTTGACTGATTGAAAGCTCTTCCATAAGATCAAGTACAGGAAAAGAATCCCTACTTTAGTAACATCTATTCAACATAGTATTAAACATCCTAGCCAGACCAATCAGTAAAGAAAAAGATCACATCTGTGATCAGACATGTAGAAAACACTAATGATCTCACACTAAAAAAACTTAGAACAAATTCAGCAAAATTGCAAAAACAAAAATCTGCTGTGTTTCTAAAAATAAAATATGAATGATCTGAAAAGAAAATTAAGAAAACAACTCCAGGCTGGCATGGTGGCTCATGCCTATGATCCCAGCACTTGGGAGGCCAAGATGGGTGGATCACTTGGTCAAGAGTTTGAGACCAGCCTGGCCAACCTGGCAAAAACCTGTCTCTACTAAAAATACAAAAATTAGCCAAATGTGGTGGTTGCACACCTGTAATCCCAGCTACTGGGAAAGCTGAGGCACAAGAATTGCTTGAACCTGGGAGGAAGAGATTATAGTGAGTAGAGACTGTGCCACTGTACTCCATCCTGGGTGACAGAGCAAGACTCTGTCAAAAAAAAGAGAGAGAGAGAAAAAAACAATTCCATTTACAATAACTTAAACTTAACCAAGGAGGTAAAAGACTGGTACACTGAAAACTACAAAACTTTGATGAAAGAAATTAAAGACAAATAGATGTAAAGATGTTCCATGTTCCTGGATTGGAAGACTTAATATTACTAAAATGCCAATATTACCCAAAGTGATGTACACAATCAATGCAATCCCTATCAA